CCACTGAGGCCTTTCCCCTTCAGCCAGCCTTTCTCCCACTGAGGCCTTTTCCCCCTCAGCCAGACTTTCTCCCACTGAGGCCTTTTCTCCCTCAGCCAGCCTTTCTTCCACTGAGGCCTTTTCCCCCTCAGCCAGCCTTTCTTCTACTGAGGCCTTTTCTCCCTCAGCCAGCCTTTCTCCCACTGAGGCTTTCTCACACTGAGGGCTCTCTCAGACTGAGGCCTTTCTCTCAGACTGAGCTCTATTTGTCAATAATCTCTTCGACACACCAAGATGACATTCCTTTTCAATAAAGAGAGTGGCCACCTCTCCACAAAAGTCAACATCAACACTGAAATATAACACCGCCTGAGCTCTGCGAGTGCAGCATTTTTCCGAATGAAAAAGAGAGTGCTTGAGGACCGGGACATTTATTTATTTATTTATTTACTGTCCTTGTATACCGCCGTTTCTCAGCCTAACTGGCGACTCAACGCGGTTTACAACAAAATATACAGTGCACAGTATACAATTAAAACCATAAAAACATAATACACAATATTACACGTAAATCACAATCCAATACATCTCCTAACTAAAATCGTGGTCCAATTTCATCATCCATATTACCAATCCGTAATCAACACATTCATTGCACCGAATTAACCAAATGCCTGCTTGAACATCCATAGCGATACCAAAGTGCTTGTTTATAAAGTTAATGTCCTCCCAACTCTGCTCTTTGCCTGCGAGACATGTATTGTCTACAGACATCACATGCAACTCCTGGAACGATTCCATCAGCGTTGCTTCTGAAAAATCCTGCAAATCCTATCTTATTCGCTTTGTTGTCGATCCACTCCTTTGGCTATTTAACCTCAGCAGACTGAAAGCCAAAAGCAAGGTTACAACAACATTTTTCATAGAACTCAAGTATGCTGATGACAACATCGTCTGTGCACATTCAGAAGAAGACCTACAAGCCACTTTGCAGAAGCATACAAGAAGCTCGGCCTGTCATTAAACATCGAGAAAACCAAAGTGCTCTTCCAGCAGTCACTAGCTAATCCCTCTCCAATGCCAGAGATACAGCTTAATGGTGGAACATTAGAAAATGTGGACCATTTCTGCTACCTTGGCAGCCACCTCTCCACAAAAGTCAACATTGACACTGAAATACAACACCGCCTGAGCTCTGCGAGTGCAGCATTTTTCCTAATGAAGCAGAGAGTGTTTGAGGACATCCGTAGGGATACCAAGACGCTTGTTTATAAAGCTATTGTCCTCCCAACCCTGCTCTATGCCTGCGAAACGTGGACTATCTACAGATGTCAACATTTGACACCGAAATACAACACCGCCTAAGCTCTGCGAGTGCAGCATGTGATGTGGTGGGGAAAAAAGCCAATGGGATTTTGGCCTGCATCAAGAGGAGCATAGTGTCTAGGTCCTGCTCCCCATGCTCTATTCCGCTTTGGTTAGAGCACACCTGGAATATTGTGTCCAATTCTGGGCACCACAATTCAAGAGAGATATTGACTCTAAGCTGGAATGTGTCCAGAGGAGGGCGACTAAAATGATCCAGGGTCTGGAGAACAAGCCCTATGAGGAGCGGCTTAAGGAGCTGGGCATGTTTAGCCTGAAGAAGAGAAGGCTGAGAGGAGATATGATGAGAGCCATGTATAAATATGAGAAGGGATTATGTCGTAGGGAGGGCGACTCAAATGATCAAGGGTCTGGAGAACAAGCCCTATGAGGAGCGACTTAAGGAGCTGAGCCTGAAGAAGAGAAGGCTGAGAGGAGATATGATAGCAATGTATTAATACGTGAGAGGAAGCCACAGGGAGGAGGGGGGAGCAAGCTTGTTTACTGCTTCCTTGCAGACTAGGACGCATTGGAACAATGGCTTCAAACTGCAAGAGAGGAGATTCCATCTGAACATGAGGAAGAACTTCCTGACTGTGAGAGCCGTTCAGCAGTGGAACTCTCTGCCCCGGAGTGTGGTGGAGGCTCCTTCTTTGGAAGCTTTTAAACAGAGGCTAGATGGCCATCTGTCAGGGGTGATTTGAATGCAATATTCCTGCTTCTTGGCAGAATGGGGTTGGACTGGATGGCCCAGGAGGTCTCTTCCAACTCTAGGATTGTATGATTCTGTGAACTATAAATCCCAGCAACTACAACTTCCAAATGATAAGGAAGTTACACTTTACGGAGACGTGGCTCTCTCAAAGAACTGGCTGCAATCAGCGTCTGCTCCTTAAGACATTTAAGCAGTATTCCACAATCGAGTTACGAAGTGTCATCACCCCACAACTAGCCTTGACAACAACACAACCAAAGGGCATTCTGTGACCCTGGGTCTTGGCCTAACCCGCTTCTCTGGATTTCTGTGCGAATGAGCACAAAAGAGAAGGAAAGAATGATGTTAAAAGAACTCCCTGGAAAATAAGTAAACATCCAAGTAATTGGGTCCCCAACATACCATCAATGAGTGCGCAAAGGTAAAGGCAGGGGCGGCTAACCCATTACGCAAAGTAAGCACTTGCAGTAGAGTTGATGTTGCCCAGGGGCGCTCTTGAGGCGCTCTTGGGGGAAAATAGACCTTGACATATGCGAGTTGTAGTTACTGGGATGTATAGTTCACCTACAATTAAAGAGCATTATGAACTCCACCAATGATGGAATTGAACCCAGTATGGCACACAGAACTCCTATGACGAACAGAATATATATATATATATATATATATATATATATATATATATATATGATTGGTTGGGCCACCTCTGGGTCAAGGCTTTCCCCAGACATTAAGTCCAGTCGTGTCCAACTCTGGGGGTTGGTGCTCATCTCCATTTCTAAGCTAAAGAGCCGGCATTGTCCATAGACACCTCCAAGGTCATGTGGCCGACATGACTGCATGGAGTGCCCTTATCTTCCCGCCGAAGCGGTAGCTATTGATCTATTATTTATTTATTATTTACAACATTTCTACCCCGCCCTTCTCAACCCCCGAGGGCGGGGGGACTCAGAGCAGCTAACATTGGCAACAACTTGATGCCGCAATCTATATATATAAAAATGGAAAGGCCGTTCAACGGGACAGCAAAACGCGAAAAAACCCCCAACGAAAACTCACCAAATTTGCCGTGCACATACCTCAACCCACAAGGTATGCACAACACTCATCAAAATTCCAAACATTTCAACAAACTCACAATTACAAAAACCAACTGAGCATGCGCAGTGCCCAGGGGAGGAAGTACACACGCAATGCACTCTGGGAACTGTAGTTCTAGAACGCGGCCTACCCGCTGACGCTGAAGCCCCGGCCTGGGAGTTGGAGCTCAGCCGGCTATGCTCGCTGGGGGCCAGGATGCTACGCAACCTGCGGAGACTGCCCGGGAGGCCCCCGCTGCGCGCCTTCCTGGCCCGGCCGGGAGAGGCCGCGGCCCGGCTCTGCCGAGGA